ATATTCCCATATCTGTGCTCAGACCAGGAAATCGCCTCCTTCACCTTTCTAGTTTACTTCAGTTTCTTGTTTTATGTAGAGAGTCACAATTTCCACATTCAAGTTTTATCAGCTAGGCTCAGGGAGCCATGTCCAGTCCTCCAGACACTGTAGTGTTCCGGCCTCCTGGCAAAAAGGCGGTGGTTATCTTGTCTCCTTGGTCATTTTTACTATTCCTGAAGGGCAGAAAGCAACAGCAGAAAACAGTTTCTGCAAATACTTCCCTTATCATCCCCAGTGGCTGGGTGAAGTAACAAGGCAGTCAAGCAAGTGCTTCTTGCACCAACAGGTCCTTCCTGGGCTCCCACATCTGTGTTGGGATCTGAAGAATCCAAAGGCAGTGAAGACACTGCCTCCTGTCTAGAACCTCATGATTTAATGGGGAGGTAGAGTTTACCACAAAACCCCCAGTGCCAAGTTGATACTGACAATAAGAAATCAACTATCCAATCTTAGAACTATAGAAAATGTAAAGGGCATCCAACCCAATCTTTTCCCCAAGCAGAAATCATCCTGCATCCTTGTCAGACTACTAACCTTCTGATTGAATGTGGGTCTCATAACTCACAAAGCTGTTCATTTAATTTTTCAAAGTCTCTTACTGCTAGAACATTTTGTTCTGATGTGAAGCAAAACTTAATTATTCCATGCAGCAGTGATTTTTCAAAACTTTTCAATTTTTAACCAATGTAATGTCTTTGAAAGAAATATTAGACACAAATCCAATAGCGAAAGCAGTTAGAGGTGAAACTCTTCTGCTGTTAGCTACAGGAGGCACTCAGCATGTCTACCAGTCTCCTCCTCTTCCCTACCCCCTGCAGCCCCAGGCTCACCACAAAATCCACTGCTTCAAAGGTAATTAGAGTCAATCTGATTCCAGCAGCACATGTCAGCCCTTGAAAGCAGCTGTCTTATCTCTTTTGAAATATCTTTTTGGGGGGATTAAACTTGCCCATTTCCACATATCTTCCCATCCTAACCATTCTCCTTAAAAAAAAAAAAAAAGTCAAAACTATATTTGAACCCAATCCTTTAGATACTGTGACCAGCTGAGGACACGGTCTCTCTTACTATCTGGACCCCAGAACGACTTGAAGAGGATTTAGTGAATAAAGAAGGACCTGAGATGGACCTTGAGAAGCATAGGCTTCTAGGTGGAGAGGAGAGAAGACAAAATTCCAGGCTGGGAAACTAGTATGAATAAAGACACAGAAATCAAAACAAGGGCCTCTTGAGATACTCTAGCCACTTCTCTTCCAGACCTTCATGGGTTCTTTTTCATTTAGCCACCTGCTCACTCTTACTTATTTCTCAGAAGAAAATTAAACCAGATCTTATCTTCAAGAATGTAGGCTTTTATTGTGCTGGGACCAAATTAGTGAAATGATCTGATCACCACCAAAACTAGGTCACTTCGACATTCGAGTCACTGCCATGGGAAAAAGAATACTTGATGAAAATGTTTGATAAGTATGAGGAAAAATTGTATTATCTTCCAATGAGTCAATTTCTTGACAAGAAGAGTCATAAAGGTTATAATGTTACCGAAGCATATCCCTGGGAATTCTCAGATCTAATGCCAACCCAGAAAACACCTTATCTGCACAAAATTATCTTTTCTTTGTTGTTTAACGGTCACAGGTAATAATGTAGCCCAAATGGACTGCAAAAACATTTTCATATAGATGAATGCTAATACACCAGGGCAACACATCCTATGAAAACAAATATCGAGACCAAGTTTTTTAGTAAACATGTTCATCGTAACACATTTCCTCATGCTACTTGGCCTTATTATTTACAAATAAAGAATTCAAGCATAGCACTTTTTCATTCAAGAAGAAAGATTTTAAAGATAAGTTTGGTCTCTTAAAATGTATTCTCCTAGTGAGTATGCGTACTCACCTTACAGGAATTGGAATTTGGGCCGGGGATTTAGCTCAGTGGTTTCACTGCCTGCTGTGCAAGCGCAAGGACCAGAGTTCAATCCCCGGTACCAAAAAAAAAAAAGGAATTGGAATTTCATACAGCATTCTCGATCTTGGGGAAAGTGACCTTGTCCTAAATTTTAATATGCATTATTAATGTAAGGATTTTAAGGCATTAATAAAACTGATCTTACTAGCATTCAGGATTTATTCAGACATTTTATTTCCATTATTTTCTTTTTTTCCTTCATCTCAAAAGGAGGTAATCTGAATCACTCTAATCTGAAAAACAACAATAAGTGTAGCAAATACTTGACAATGAAGATGAAAAGCCTCTCAAAATCTGTTACCTTAGTAACAGCAAGAATGTGGAAGAATAAGAATACACTGTCAGGACATCATTTCAGATTCCTCAGATTTGAGGCCTAAATACAGTCAGCTTTCATTAGCTTTTTGTTTTTCCCAGCAGGTCCTTGGACTTTGAAACAAAACCTGAATGACAGCTATGAGCAATTCCAGCCTGGCTCCTGATTAGCTATGCCAAACAAAACAACTCTCTGCAGTGTAAACTTTCCAGGCCTCTGCAACCAAGCCTCTATAGAGACTATAATTCCTCAGTGAGATTTGAAGGAGACTCAGGGTTGGGGTGGGGGGTGAAGAATGCGGGGGGGGGGGGATAAGACTTTCCCCTCCACCTCAAACTAGTTCCCTGAACCAGTCTCTGATTAAAGCAGGGGGAAAATAAGGTAGAACTTGCCTTGGTGTTGCTGTAACTTCTAATTCTGCCTTATTTTACCATTTAGCTAAATCTGAATATTCTATTCCAATTAACATTCATAACATCTGTAACACCCGTGCATCCAAACCACAAATGCATTTAAACCAAACAAGCAATTCTGAGGCCAGATTCATATCAGCTAGAGCAAGCAGTTGATTAAAGAGATCCAAAAGAGAAGAGGAACAAGGACACGGGGATGGATAATGCCCCAAATGGATCCAAGCTAAGATCTTGTGTCATTTGTTGTCATTCACTTTTACTGAATGTGAACCCAAAATTAATTACAGCAAATGACACAGAACTGTGCTGTTTGGTCCCATCTGCTACATGATTAGATCCCTGAGGAGCTAACTATTAAGTTTTTCTCTTATGATCAGGCTGCTTGATTCCACCTAAAGAGCATACCTTTATGTACACAAAAGATTGAAAGATTAGATCCCAAAGCAGTCGGGGTTTTTTCGTAACAGTAGGAAAAATTTATTGCAAGACAGCTCCTAAGAGAGACAGAAGGGGGACCGCAAAGTGAGCTGCCCCCCAAAGCAGTCAGTTCTAATCAGATGCTTGATTTTAAGCTTAGAAGTGGTTTTAGAAATTGTTGTCTGCAGAAAATTCTGTACTGAAGTATTAAGTGGCAATTCAACTATAGGGAGATGAGAGTTCAACTAAAAGTTTGGCTTTAAGAACAATCCTCCAATCACTTCAAAAGTAAAAAAGATTGCATTTCTTGGCCACAAGTAAAATAGTAGCATTGAAGTTCGCAATTATCTTCTGAAGAGTGGCATTTAACCACACTCTGATCTCTATTGCTTCTGAGATAATCTATAGAAATTGACAGCTGACTTACTTGGAATCTTAATTGCTCAAGTTTCCCTACTTCAAGCCAATGACGATTTTAAAAAAAAGAGTGTACTGATCATTAGGTAGCATGTAAGGTAAGAAAAACAGATCTAACTACCTAAAATATAATTTGCAGATATATGGCAACAGATGTCATAGAAAACTTACTACTTACAGAGCCATATCATAAAAGCCTTACTTAGATTTAAGACAACAGTAAATTTAAATCACTTAAGGTTCAAATGGAAAATTCAAGTTCAGACCTAAAAAAAGATCTACATATATAGTCTCATCAAAAATCATAATCAGGGACAGGGGCCCGGGGATTTAGCTCAGTGGTTCCGCTGCCTGCTTTGCAAGCACAAGGACCCAAGTTTGATCCCTGGTACCAAAAAAAAAATCATAATCAGGGACATTTTAATTTTAGAAACTAAAGACAAGAAAAACATCAATGTTTAAGAGGTTAATAACAAATTAGAAAGCTACATTCCTAATATTGTATTCAATGTGTAAAACCACTTTATTTTTAAAAAAAGAACCTTAAAATATTTTTTGTAATTGATGAAGATGAGGATAGAAAATCCCTAAATATTAATATATATGCTTTCAATCCCAACCAAACCTGCTGATTCAGTGTAAAGTCATCAGCAGAGTCCTTCCCTGAAAGAGGAACAAGCCATTGTCCGCCTGAAACAAAGCGCACTGCACAGGAAATCAGCCAAATCTGGGCCAGATGGTCACTGATCCGAGTTTCACTCTCCCCACCCCCCACGCACCCTGGCACTCCAAAAATAGATTTAGATAGCGTTTTTGGTTACCAGGTAATTATCCTGAGTGTGAGGTGCGAACTTTTAAAAACTATCTACACCCTCCACTTTAACACCAAGGAATTTGTTAAACGTCCTTATAAAAAGTTAAGCAAGGAAGTTGCTATGCAGCGGGTATTGAAAGAAAAATACCTTTAAAAGTCCACTGTCTGTTTCTGTTTCTTAGGCACAGTGTGAAGTTTTACCAGATGGAACGGTTTAAAATATGCATGCTAATTTGTTTTCATCTATCGCTTTTCTCAAGCTTTGACACAAAATAGAAACAAACCCAGAGAAAACTGACTTATCCCAGTTTTTTCTGCAGGTTGATGTCACTTTGCAACGGGTTTCCTGGTTTGCAACCTGGAAAGACTTTCAAAACTACTAATGAAAAGTTACCAGAAAACCAACTGTAATAAATAGCAACACTAATTTCCTAATGGTATTAAACAACACAAAAATTTTGTTACAAAATATGTGTCTCAGATTAAAGAGGTTTTGATCCAAATAATAAATTAGAACATTGTGGGATTTTTTGTCTAAAAAAAAGTAACCATTTCAGAAAGTAAAAGTATTATCACAGCATAGTATTTTTACAAAGTATTCACGTACTTAACCTGGGTTGGGAAAAACTCCACCGCACAAGTCCTCCACAAGGTCTGTCATTCAAATAGAGAAGGACTGATTTTTAGACTTCACTTTCTCCAAGCTTCAGGAGTTTAGAGGAACAGCGAGAAGCTGGGGAAGGAACAAAAAAGAGATTTGTGTTTGAGGGGAGGGGTACTTCTAAGGACGGTACTAATATTCCTCTCCTCAAGGAAAACGTCTTCACGTATTCTACTGAAATCACACAGAACACAGAGGGAAAAGTCACTAATTTTGATTACAAATCAGTTTGTGTGATCTCATGTCATAAAATGTATAAATTAGAATATTGCTATAAACACATTTCATACCTCTCCTGGTTACTATAAAACTCAGCCATAAATTCTAAACAGCAACTATTCATTAAAGCAAAACAGGTACAACTATGTCAACGACTTAAATGATGATCTGTAACACTCAACAGAAACTTGCATATTATAGAGGTGGACATAAGGATTTGAAACCTCTCAAAAATGTTCAGAAGATACTCCTTTATTTTTCCTATTAAAAATATTTAGAATAAACAACGGTCATTTCTTTAAAGGGAATCCTTGACTCTACAGGGGTTGCTTAAGAAATATTTACTTTTATGTGGCTTAAGTTTTATCAACCAACAAACAGCAATCCCTTTAGTAAACTTTATAATCTTTTTCATAATTACTTCAGAAATGTCAGTTTTGGAATACATTTTATTGGCCTGCTACAGTGTAATTTTTCCAAAATTTACATATAAAAAGGTTAAGGCAAATAAAAGAGGTTTTTGGTTCTATTTGTTTATTTTTTTAGTACAAGATAATCACAGGCTGGTAAAGCAATGGCTAAAGATGAAAATTACTTTAAAATATGCAATCAACAGCAACTCTCAAATATGGTCTGTTTTATTGTAGGGAAGTAAGAAGGCTGCTAAAGAGCTCAGCCTAGGCAATTTAGCAATTTAGCAAGACTGACTTAAAATAAGACATTAATATGTGTGGGATGGTTATGATAGGCCAGCTGCCTTTGTGTTTCATTTAAATGTAAATTTATCTTAGAGACTCTAAAGATGAGTTCAGAAGGTAGAGAATTTTAATGTAGCTCAGTGCAAAGGCCCTGGGTTCAATCCCCAGTACAAAAAAAAAAAAAAAAAGCTGTTAAAGGCAGCAGAAGGTGACCTTCTTGAAGAGAACATTCATGGCTGCATACACAATGCTAACAATAACTGCAAAATAAAACAAAAAGACAGAACTTGGAATCTTGACCTTCTGTTTTAAACAGAATAGTGACAAATGGAAGCTTCCTCCAAAAGTTGCCCTCAAAAATTGTTACTAGAAGATAATTAATAATTACAGTATCAGACATTTTAATCAATGTTAAAAAAAATCTAAATATATACACAGTATATAGATATATGTATGTGTCATAAGGATGTCAAGCGTATTTTTGATACCTTCGTTGGTAGGTTTTATGTTTTAACATCTCAGATCTAATTATTTTAAAGTATTTCTAAAACCTGATTTCTGGTTAAAATACTACTGTTTTCCTTTATATAGTACTATAAAATAATGCTCAGTATCACACTGGACAATGAGTTGTGATATATACTTTTATAAACTAAATTAATCTTCTTTTGATGGAATTATGTAATCTTAAAAAACTGCTAATGGATAATCCACTAAGAACCTTTAAAATAAAGGAGCTAGCTTTTTCTTTAGTGTAAATCAAGGATTTCAGTATCCTGGAAAATTGAAGAAAATAACTATTCACATTAAAATTCTCTACCTTCTGAATTCATCTTTAGAGTCTCTAAGATAAATTTACATTTAAATGAAACACACACAAAGGCAGCTGGACTATCATAACCATCCCACACACATTAATGTTTTCAGAGATTTAAACCTCTATCTGACTCCCAGGAAAAAGAAAATTGTGACTACAGAACTATTTTTAATCAGTCAACTTGATACATCATTTGAACAGGATTTATCTGTTAATGCTCTAACTTTATATAAGAGTTAAGGGAAAAGTATAAAGTCAAAGTATAAGTCAAAATACTAACAAAAGTCAATGAAAAACAGACAACCCATTCATATCAGTTTCTATAAAACTAGGCCTTAATAAATAAATATTATATCAACAACAATAAATGACTGCAGAAATGTAATGAGCTAGAATTTAGCAGACTAGCTTATGATCTTTTTCTTTGATGGGGCCTAACTGAAAGGACTAACAGGGTTTAAAGCTAAATTCTACTACATTAGCATTGAGTTCTAATTATCTTCTAAGTCTTTCCTCTTTTTTTTTTTTTTGATTCTTTAACCTGTATTTTCCTGTTTGATAGTCCACAAACCTAGTAGAAAATTTAATTTCATTCAATTAAAAGAAAATCTGTATAAATATAACATATTTATGATAAGCAGCACTGATTTCATCTGTTTTCTAAATACAGTACATACACAATGAGAAATATATCAAGGCCAAGAGCAGAGTGCACCTGATTTTCACTGATGAAAAACTGCCAAGAACATAAATTTCTAAAGATGAATTATATTTATAAGGAAATACTTCAACATCTATGCTTTAAATGTTTATTACTATTGATTACTATTTATTATTACCATTAATATTAGAATATTAATGCAGTAGTCTCAAATAATTGTAAATGTACTTTAAACAGTCTGAAAGTTAAAATGAGCTTACATTCATTTTCTCTCTCATACCTTAAATGCATACCTTAAATTTGCTACATAAAGAAAGGGTATAAGTTAAATAGTGGTTATATTCATACTCTTCCCTCCTTTTTCCCTTAATACTCATGAAGTTCACAGCATGATTTCCTTAACCTCACCAGTACTGTTTCAAATTTTTACATTTAAAAAAATAAAATGGACATTAAAACTCCATTTAGATATCAGTTCAATTAAATATTTTGCAGTTTTTATATCATAACATAGTTGCATATAATATTAAAATATTTTACTACATAGCAATGGTATAAGGAATACGCTTCGAATAAAATTAAATCTGCATCTACAAAACCACAAGCTACCTTTACTGCATTTTAACTAGATTGTAGCTTTCCCCAGGGCAGGGACAGCTCTTTATTTTCCTTTCTCTTTCCACACAGCATCTGTTCCAATTATAGGTCCCTAGTAGAGACTTACTGACATATTTATTGTTTATTTCCTGCTCAACAGAGAATTCTATTATCCTCACTGGATTATGAACCTCTTCCTCAGTAGGAAAATTATGAGAAAAATCATTTTCAAGGAAGTGACAAGCATTTAATAATTAAGTCTATCCAAATGAAAACAGAGCCAGGTGTAATGGTGCATGGCTGTGATACAAGCACTCTGGGAGGCTGAGACAGGAGGATCCCAAGTTCAAGACCCTCCCTAGACAATTTAGCAAGTTAGTGAGACCCTGCCTCAAACAAACAACAAACAAATAAAACACTAAGAAACAGTTTGATATTATACCTACTATTGCCAATTTTTACTTCCAAGGCCAGCAGATGGCTGGGGATGTAGCTCAGTGGCACCAAACCTGCCTGGCAAGTGCAAGGTCCTGAGTTCAAGCCCCCATACCACAAAAAAATTAAAAATTAAAAAATTTAAATCAGCACAGATTAAACACAAACCTCAATTCAAGACAGAATTATGGCATCAGTTAGTTGTTACAATACATGAACATCAGCTTCCCAAAAGTAAACCACATGGAGATGCCTGAAATCTCTCATGTGACAGTACCTAAAGCCATTATTATTTTGGTTTTGGAAGTATTATCAATTTAAAATCTAATAAGCCATGTGAATTGTAAAAACTCAATTTCACAGTTCTATTCTAGTAGGCGGCATTATCCCTACAAACATGAATTCAATGACTTTTTTTAACAAGGATTTTTTTTTAATGGTGTCTTGTTGTGTTGCCCAAGGATGGCCTCAAACTTCCTGCTACCTTCCTGGCTCAGCCTCCTAAGTATAGGCATTCTTTCTTTAACAACCAAGTTCCATTCCTACAACTAGGTCATTAACTGAATTGGTGGCTAGAGGAGGAATGGTATATAGTAGTATATTACAATATTCAGAACAAAAGAAATGGTCAAGGAAATTACAACTTGATACCTTTGCCCTTATTTGCATCACTCTTACATGCAGTTCTATAGTGTATAACAGAACATAAAACTACAGGACTGTACTGTACAGTATAATCAGCAAAAATTATAGTACTGTATAAATAAGGTGGACTATACAAAAAGAGACATCAAGACATTGAGGCTCTGTCAACAAAATGTACAGGACTGTACCAAAAAAAACACTGATGGGTCATAAGTCCAAAGAGTTGTTAAACAGGCAGACTGTTAAACAAGGAATATCTGCATTAGGCATATTTTCAATATACTTCAATGAAAATGATTTGTTTTTCTTAAGAACACATGTTCTCCAATAACCTTTAAAATAAAATACAGCAGCCATCAACAAATCATCACATCAGCTGGGTTCAGGCAATATTGATCCCTCACATGTCAGAAAAGGCAGGGATGAAAATTACTCAGAAAATCCAGGATATCTTATGAGACAGCAATGACATGCAAAGTGCTCATCAGTAATCAACAGATGTAATCCAGATACGATCCTTAGTAGATCAATAAAGCATCTTTTCCTGTATTCCTCACATGCCCTTTTCCAGGTATCTGAGCAGCTTCCATGAACTCTCCAAGGTTACACTGACCACACAGCTGATATTGCTGGGAGCTGTGTTTTGAATGTGCCATTTTGGCTCTTTAATGAAGGAGCTTCTGCAGGTCACTGTGAGGGACCAGTGAAACTAAAATATTTCTAATACGATATCACAGAGCCACGAACCTGCCGGACTCTGTGAAAATCATGGGAAATGCCAAATATCCTTGTCAGCGAAACTGGCATTGATGGAGCCAGCGCTCTGTCCCCCTCCGCAGTATATACCTTGGAGGACAGAAAGACATATAAAGCATGTAGTGAAGGAGCTGGCTAGCCAAGAGTGTGAGACAAAAATTAAACCTGTAAAACAGCCACAGGGCCAAGAGTAACAGTGACAATTAATTCCTCAGTTGTGTCCTGTGGTTTGGAAGAGTATGTA